CTGGTGCCGGCCCCAGGCACACGGCTCGGGCAGCCCATGTACATGCCGGCGCAGGGGGAAAGGGCATCCCCGCCCCTGACGTGCCCCAGGATGCACGGCCCCACCCCCCGGGCGCCTGGCGCGTGAGTGGCCCCGCCCCCGGGCGCCCGGGAGCCTCTAAAGGTTAGGGACCACTGCGTTAGATCATTCTAGATTGAAGAGCCCGTTATTGAATATTTGTTCCACGTGTAGATATTTAGACACAATATTGCCAACCCATGCTTTTATTGCGTCTCACAAGAGTTGAAATTTATATTATAATCTGAGCTGTTCGCATCAAGAGAATGCATGGAAATCTCAGCTCTTCATTTTTTTAAATAAAAGTAATTTTCTAGACACTGCTGTTGCCAAGAAAATTTGGCAACCGTGGGCTTGGTTAGTCTGCAGAAGAAGAGAATTGGCGTGTGGGGGGAGGGAGATTTGATAGCAGCCTTTAACTTCCTGAAAGCGAGCGGGTTCCAAAGACAATGGAACTAGGCTGTTCTCAGAGGTGACAGATGACAGAACGAAAAGCAATGGTCTCAAGTTACGGTGGGGGAGGTTTGGGTTGGCTATTAGAAAAATCTATTTTCCTAGGAGGGTGGTGAAGTACTGGATTGGATTCCCTAGGGAGGTGGTGGAATCTCCATCTCTAGAGGTTTTTAAGTCTGGGCTTGGAAAAGCCCTGGCTGGGATGATTTAGTTGGGTTAGTTGTTCTTTGAGCAGGGATTTGGACTCGATGACCTCCTGAGGTCTCTTCCAACCCTAGGAATCTATGAAAAGCTGGAGAACATGAAGGCTGTGTCTAGACTGCAGGGTTTTTTCGAAAAAAGTAACCTTTTTTCGAAAAAACGTCACCTGCGTCTAGACTACAGCTGCATTCTTTAGAAATTAAATCAAAAGAACACGGCTTTTCTTTCAACGGCGGTACTCCTCATTTCACGAGGAATAACGCCTTTTTTCGAAAGTGCTCTTTCGAAAAAAGACGCTATATAATGCAAACTGTGCTTTTTCCAAAGAGAGCATCCAGACGGCCTGGGTGCTCTCTTTCGAAAAAGCGGCTTGCTTT